TGAGTAAATTAGCTTCCTCTGCACGCACGAGTGTACGTAGACTTTTGCGGCATCCTTAACAAAGGGTGCCCCGTTACACCTGGTAGCACTTAGTAGTCCGTCCAACGACTGCTTAGTGTCCGTCCAACATGAACATGTTGGACGTAGAAGACGACAGCTTCCACGTCACACGTGAAGGCTACTCCCATCTGTGTAAATCAGAATGGGAGTTGTCGGTCGCATGAGTGTGGTTATAGGCGAATTCGCCATAAGTGGTATGTTGGGGTCTTCAAGCAGAGACCAGCAACATGCTGCTATCAACAAGTTCCTGCAAGGGGAACTTGCCGTAGAACGACTGAAGATAGCCTTGCTACGGCAGCAAGGCTCTCATCAATCGATGAGCGGGCCGACGCACACGCGTTGACCCGAAACCTTGTAGATTGATATCTCAAGGTATAAGGGAACCGATGAAGATCAACTTATGAGATGGTTCGACGAGTTAGAAGACGCCATCAGGGCCCGTCACATCGAGGGTGACGAGATGCATGTCATCTTCGCCCTGTCAAATTTGACGGGACGAGCAAAGACTTGGGCCTTAGGGCTCAAGCTTCACAACCCAAACGTGTTTGAGTCGTTGGAGATCTTGAAGTCACGACTCAAAGAGCCTTTATAAGCCATCAAGAGCCGAGTGCATAGCACGCTCTGCACTCTTGAAGCTACAGCAAGGTAAGCGTGACGTACGCGCTTATGCACAACACCTGCGCTACCTTGCAAGTAGCGTTACGGAAAACCCTGTTGATGAGCATACGCTCATCAACGTGTTCATCTACGGCCTTGTGGATGGCTGGTGAAGACCTACATGTTCCGAGAAGACTTCCATACGCTAGAAAAGCGATAGCGTATGCGAAACAAGAAGACTTTAGACTGAGACAGTCTCAGGCTAACTAGTCAAGCTATCGTCCAACGAGACGACAGGAAACAGGAGGTCCCGAACCAATGGACCTCTGTTACATCGAGAGCGAGAACTCTCGCTCTCCGAGACACAAGCGAACGGCAAGATGCCATCGCTGTCATAAAATTGGACACTACGCTCAAGAGTGTAGTGTCCCGAGCACCGTAACACGTCCAAAGACAGGACGTGATGGCCACCGTTGGGCAAGGAAAGGTCCAAGGTGTGGGTCCGACCATGTCGCTAAGCCGCAACAGCAAGTCGGACCGTCAATAAACGGACAGGGTCAGTAGGGGCGGAGCACCCTGCTGATCCAGCAACATCGAGAGAATTTGCAGGACTCTTGACGAAGATTGCTCCCAACACACAGTCGCAGTGTGTTACTGCCCCTAGTGATGAGGTGACACTCATCACTTTGAAGATCGAAGTGACAAGTGGAATGTCACTTCGCACCCTAGTTGACTGTGGGGCGTCGAACAGTTTTATTCAACGCCAGTTGCTAGAGGATAGCTGGCTCAGCTAGGCCGAGCGAGAGTTCCGTCTAACGAGGATGACGGTGTGCCTTGCTACAGGCGCATTCGTAACTGTGAAGAAACGTGTAGTGGGAAACCACTACACGCTAGAAGGAAAGCAGTACGATGATGACTTTATCGTACTGGATTTGGGTGACAAATTTGATGTCGTACTCAGCCTTCCATGGCTTCGAAAGTACGGGCCATGGATTAGCTGGCAGCATCGATCCGTGAAAATGTCTGCCGTTTTTTTCATCGGATGGCCATCTGATGTACGTCTTGGAGCTTCCACAAGCTTGTGGATGTACTACGAGTGAGTGCGATGGCCTCACTTGTGGTCTTGTGGTACTGTCGTTAGTATGACTGCAAAAGATCACATTGAAGAAACCCAATACACTGTGGAACCAGCTTCCGGTACATGTTTAGAGACACAGGCTGCGCTGAGGGATCAGCACTCGAAGCAGTAGAGTGGATTAGAACATAGATGAATACCAAGAAGGGTGCATCCGAGAATAGAGATTAGTGTTGTTCAATACGAACAACACGTTAAAAAGCGAGATCGATTAACATAGAGTCGATCGTAGAGCAAGCCCGATCGACTGAAAGAGAGTCGATCGATGGGGAAGTGACTGTGGTAGTTCTCCCACAGTCAGATCACGTATTGGAAGAAGTTCCAGCTTTCCTGAGAGTGATAACTTCGGAGAGAGCTATGTTGAGGTTGTGTTTCCCCAACCACGTGCGGATGTGTTTTTCCTGGAAATCACGTAGTCAGTTAATGTCTTGGTAAGTGACGGATCGAGTGTAGGCGCTTATACACTTGATCTGATTACATCTCCGAATTCAGCTTCGGAGGTGGTCAAGTTACCAACGCTAGAAATTTTAAAAACTCTTGCGAGATCTGCGTAGTGACAAGATCAAACACATCTGCTTACTCATCTCAGAGGACGAGTACGTCGCCGATATTCGGTCGGCACAAGCGTTTGCAGAGAACGAACGGGTTCTCAGTAGCTCATCTATGGACGAGAGTGTCCTCGATGAGAAGATCTGGATTGAACGGTACACTTCTCAATCTTTGGAGTCTTTGAAGACAAATCCTTTGTATAATAATTTGATCGAACTAGGGATGTTTTCCCGGTATCCGTGCCATGCGAGATGCCCAAGGACAAAGGCACTCGACATGAGATCGAGCTGAAACCTGGTTCGAAATACTGTGTCATGAATCAGTGGCCACTGCCTCGTGAACAGGTCACAGCGATCGACATATTCGTTGCCGATCGTTTAGCGGCTGGTCATGTGAGGGAATCAACATCCCCACACAGCTCTCCGACCTTCTGTGTGCGAAAGGCCACAGGAGGGTGGCGGATAGCACACGCGTTCAACAAACTGAATGCTGCAACGGTACTGGCGCAGACACCGACACCGAGGAAGGACGTAATTATAGATGGTACGGGAAAAAGTACCATCTTTTCGTCTATGGATTTGATGGATGGATTCTATCAGATCCTCATGCGTGAACGGGATATCCTTACACAGCGATGAGCACCCCCAGTGGTATGCTCTGGGAGTGGCTAATAATGCCACAGGGGCTAAGTAACGCCCCCGCAACATTTAACAGATGTGTTGCGAATCTGTTGCCATCGGTGCGCGACTTCGCACCGAGTTACTTCGACGATGTCTTCGTCCACAGCCGGGCAATGGATGGAAGACGGACTTGGAGGCTCATAGAATTCACGTCCAGAAGTTTCTTTCACTTGTGCGGGAGCATAAGTTGTACGCCAAACTCAAGAAGTGTATACTCGCAGCGAGCGAAATGCCATTTCTTGGCTGCATCTTAGGTAAAAACGGCGTACGCTCTGATCCAAAAGATCAAGGCAAATAGCGAATGGGCTGTGTCAGTCGACGTCAAGGGTCTTCGAAATTTTCTTGGCTTAGCGGCGTACTTGCAAAGGTACTCGCGCAACTATGCCGAAATGAACGTACATCTCTCTCGTCTGCTAAAGAAAAACGAGAGGTGGTCATAGAGTGCTGAGTGTCAGCACTTCTTCGAAGGTATCAAGAAAAGCTTGATACAATTGCCTGTGCTGGCGATTGCAGGCCAATACAGACCATGCCATGTGGTCTGTGACGCCAGCGATTTTGTGATCGGCTGCGCGTTAATGCAGTACGACTCAGACGGCGTTGAGCGCGTCGTCTGTCATCAATCGCGTCAGATGCAAGCAGCTAAGCAAAATTATCCGGTGCATGACAAGGAACTCCTTGCCATGAAATATGCACTGGCCAAGTTTCGGGTAAATCTCTTAAATGATAGGCCCTTCATCATTTATATCGACCATGCGTCATTAACCACGTTCACAAACATTCCAAATCTTTTGCAACGAATGGCGAGGTGGCTGTCTTTCTTCGCGGAGTACAACTTCTTCGTCGAGTATGAACCAGGACGACTTGATGTCGTCGCTGATGCTCTTTCGCGTCGGCCCAATTTCGAGCCGACTGCTTAACACCACTGTAAGGGTGATCCCGCTGTGCAACACAATCAGTAAGTGTTCCGTCGTCGAGCCTGCTTGAAGAAGTGCGTGAAGCAAACGCAGAAGATGAGTTTCTTCTACGGTTAGTGAGTGACGTGTCTAATCCATGTCGACGCGCTTTAACAAGCTTGACTTCTCAACACCGTTCTTCAACCGAACGGTATTCTGTTCGTGATGGACTGCTGTACTATACAGTAGTCAACGGTGACACACCTCGTGTCGTCGTTCCCGCTCATAACGATTTGCGATTGCGCATCATGTATGAGTGTCACGATGCCCCGACAAGTGGGCATCGCGATAAAGAAAAGGCTTACCTTAAGGTAAGTCATGACATCTACTGTCCACGTCAGTATGCGTCTGTGCGCAAATAAATTCGCGCTTGCGAAGTTTGCTAACGGGTGAAACCTAGTCCTTCATCCCGTTCACTTGCAGCTTCTACCGATTCAGTCAGAGTGCTGACAGTCCGTATCGATGGACGTCGTCTTCGGGTTTCCCAACGACGTTCACAAGAAAACTAGTATTCTTGTGTTCGTTGATCGGTTCATCAAGATGACACATCTTGTTGCCGTACCGAAGTCAATCACAGCCCAGGGATGTGCGCGTGTCTTCATCGATACTATCTTCCAACTTCACGAATTACCCCCGTGAACTCGTGTCTGATAGGGACCCCCGCTTCACAGCGGAGTTCTAGCATTCCGTGTTCCGTCCACTTGGAACACGTTTGACGATGTCGACTTCTGACCATCCTGAAGCCGATGGTCACACGGAACGTGTCAACCGCGTTCTCGAAGAGATACTTTGAGGGTATGTCCACTCGTTTAAGAGCTGGAGTGAGTTCTTGCCGATGGCGGAAATCGCCATCAACAACTCGGTGCACGCGTCGACAACGCATACGCCGCTCTTCGTAAATGACCTACGCCATCCACGTTTTACCAGCTTTCTCAGAGTGTGACACTAGTTTAAGGGGGGACGAATCGCTCGAACAAAAACCGATCTGGTTCTTGCTCATCACCCGTCGACAATGGTGTCGACGTGATGGATGCCGATGTCGATGCGATCGATATCGATGATGATGATGACGACGAAGATGATGGCATATTCAGCATCGCCAATGACTGCCAACGTGAGGACAATGATACCCTCACTGGTGAAGACAACGTTTTTTGAGCAGTGCGCACGAAGCGCACTGCTGTTGACAAGGATGAATCAGCAGAGGAAATTCTGCTGACTCGCGAAGTGGTTGTCCGCTTCGTTCAAGACTATATTGCAGATGCACTAGACAGACAGAAGAGAAACGCAGACAAACATGGAAGAGCAAATGTTTTTTCATTTGATATAGGAGACCTAGTTTTATTGTCTACAGTAAACTTACCGAAGCACGCAGTGACAAACGTGGGCAGCAGTAAATTACTGCCCAAGTATATTGGTCCATTTAGTGTGTTGCGCCGAATGGGCAACGCATGCACGATTGAACTGCCCAGTAAGATGCGCACGCATCTTACGTATACGTCGGTCGTCTCCGCCTGTACTATCGAGTACGAGCCCGTTTCCCGAGATGCGAAGAACACCTCCACGGTCGAGAGCCGAGACCACCCTCTAGAGTGCTCCCGTTTCAAAAGAGCCAATCTGGTCTGACTCAGCGAATTGACCTGTTCATCCAGTTGGGGATGTACAGGGATGAGCTGCACGGCCAGCCTCGTGTTACGAAGAGAATGATTGAACATTTGCTTCTCAAGCTGCGCCGAACGCAAAAGCGGCACGATCGTCCGAGCGATCGTTCGTTGAGGAATTTATAAAAATTCCTCACAACATTCTTAAGCCCATAACGCCGAGAGCGTTCATAGGCCTGTAATGCGGCTGTTCCGTTAGAAGGTTCGGTTTCCGGACATCAAGCTGATCCGACCCCTGGATCCGGATCAGGTGTTCCACCACCCCATTCTTTGGTGGAATCCCGGCTAAGATTTAGGCTGCTGATCGAGCGTATATTTGAAACCACGATGTGAATGGCATCGGACGAGGTTGCCCTCGTCC